GTGTGCTGATTAAAGGCACTCAGGGCAGAACAGTCCAAAGCTTTAGAAGGACGGACAGCTCCAGTGAAGCACAGCTCAGCCTCACACACAGTAGAACTGACAAAGACAGTGGAGAGAAAACACAGTGAGGATGGCTATTTTGGATGTGAAGAGGCTTTTGGTTGTCAAGAACTGAAAAGAAATCTTCAATGGTGGGGTACATTTTTGAAATGTTGCGAGCGGCCAATATTGGGCACCAAATAAGTCCAGTGTTATAAAGCAGATCTGCCTAAAGCCTTGCTTGTGATGTCACTGTGTTAAAAACTAAATACAAGAATGTAGTTACACATAGTATTGTGTACTATGCATATTTTAGTATTATACTACATATGTCACAAATATCCAAGTATGTGCCGCTCACTGTCCAACACACAAACAAAAACACATGGGACAGGTACATAAGTTCCCAACTGCAAATAAAAGGTATGATTTAGAAACCTCTGCAAAATACTGTTCCATCCATCACTATTGAGCCATGAGTCACAGTTGTTATCGTGACAGGTCCACATAGAATCAGAGTGAGCAGAGCCACAGCCTGTGCCCTCTGACACATTCCACGGAGAGCACCCAGCGCTAAAAACAACACCAACTTCTGATTTAACTCACACCAACAACACTCAGGTTTATTTAGTGGTCACAGGTCAGGTCAGGTCTAAAGTACTTATACTCACATCACTGCAAAGTTATCAAAAGTATCCAAAATCAGATGCTAATCCATACTAAAACTACAACTGAAACTAGATCCTCATTTGAGCAGGTATCAATACTCAGAACAAGTATAAGAGCACATAGACTAGTGTACACACATGGACACTATGAACCTATGAACCTGAGAATAGAATTGTTTCCTTAGTATCAAAATAAAGTTTGAAATATCAGTATGGTGACAGCACCACATCACAGAACTTGTAACAGAAAATCAGTACTTGTCATATTGCTCTTAATCATTTGCTTTGATTACTTCTGGATTTTTTGCACACTCTGTGCTGTTTAAGGTCCTATATTATGCCAAACTGATTAGAGTTGTGTTTTGTTTCATTCACATGTTTGAGTGACCCTTTATTATGAATCTGTCTACATCTCCAAAGCTCTAAATACTCTTGTTTCACCTTGTGATGTCATGTGGTTGTTTTTAAGTACACAGCTTGCATTTTACTATTTGCTCAGAAGAGAGATTGGGAATTCCAGAGTTGAGTTGAGAGTTGAGTAAATATGCAAAATATCCAAATGAAGCAAAGCACCACTTTATGTAAGAATGTTTGTGTTATGGTTGGATGGTATCCAAATTCTGATACCGTTAAACCTTCTCAGGATTTTACGGTTTTACCATTTTTACAAATTGAACAAAAATTAACCATCTCCAACTCGATACACGCACAGAACAAACTCACCATCAACAACACATCCTCTGTCACAGAGAGAACACTCATATTCCAGTCGTGTCGTTTAGTCCGACAGAATCTGAACCGCATCAGCGCACAAGGAAACAGCTGTTTTTATCAGAGCTTTATAGTTTATGCAAATGAGCCATGTGGTTTTAAGTTTTATTTCTGTAAAATATAAACAAATGTGTCGTGAAGCCAAAATGCAGCCAAATTGCAGAAGTACTAGTATTTTATGGCTGGACTTGTCTTGTCTCGGTCTCCTTTATGAGCGTCACGTGACAACAGAACGAAACTAATCAAACGTCATCTCCCCACGCAGTTAAAAGAAACATTATAGACACTATTAGTTTTAAATCGTGATAGCATTAAATTGAAAATACAACCACACATTCATTTGTACTGAGCAAACAAATTTATGTATCAATAAATTAGAACATTATATTAGGTCCTTATGCGCTGCAGACTTTTTTACTGACAGTAATGAAACTGATACTGTTGCTACGTTTTGATACCGTTTGATACCATAATATCATATTACCGCCCAACCCTAATTTGTTATGAGGAAACAAAATTGTAACATAGATCAGAAAATAGAGTAATAGAACTTTTATATAGAAACATTATAATGCATTCAACATTATGTGTCTACCAAGGATACAACAAGGCGCCAACGAATGTGTAAAAGTGTGTCTGTAAAATCAGTGTGTTTCACTCAAGGACATAGAATTATCATCAGACATACAAGACGCTGGGCTTGAAGTACTAAGTATTCCTCTGAAGCCAAAAAGACAGCACACATTTATTTGATCAGTCAGAGGACAAGTCAGGACACGGCCTGCTCCACAGCGCCCGGCCCAGCGCTGGATCATTAAAAAGCAACCGCTGCAATAACTGCGCGCAAAACCACTCACAACTCACTACTCCACTCGTCAGCGCTGGAACTATCTCCAGAGAGCTCAGGTCTTTCAACGTGTGCGGGAACTTATTGGAGATCTTCTACCAGCCTGTACTTCTGCCGGGGGGAGCAGCACCAGAAAAAAGGACTGGATTAAAGGTGGTCACATGATCGACTGTGACCTGGAGACGTCTGTCACAGTGAGGGACACGAGGACACTGGACAAACTGCCCTGCATCATGGACACTCCTGCTCACCCACTGCACCAGACTATAGAATAATACTCCCGACAACTGTACAATAACTCACCCTTATGTAACACATAATACTCCCGACAACTGAACAACAATTTACCCTTATTTAACATATAATACTCCCCACAACTGTACAACAATTCACACTTATGGGACAGATAATACTCCCTACAACTGTACAACAACTCACCCTTATGGAAAAGATAATACTCCCTACAATTGTACAACAACTCACCCTTATGAAACCCTGTCAATCATAATAACATCTTACCACCTCTTGTGTATAACTGATATACATTTTTATTATTACTTTATTTACTTTATTACTTTTATTTTCAAATTTTCTTCTACATTTACATTTATATAATTATGCCTTATTTGATGCCAGTCTCTTGTTAATTTTGCTACTTATTTAGAATATATAATTAGCATTTATATTATTTTTCTTTGTTAATAGATTATATTATGACGTATGACTCCTGTGTCCAAATCATTTCCCTCGTAGATCAATAAAATTTGCCTAAGTCTATGTGGGAAATGTATTGAAAAATTACAATATCACGTTTTACTGGTATATTTAGAGTATAATTTTTCTCCATGGGTTTCAGAAGGATGAAAAAACAGGACAGTTGTCATAGTGATTCATCGTACTGCAAAATATTAAATCTTTTCAGCGGTAAAAATTCCTCAAAAAGTTGCCTATAACAGGAAGCTGATAATGTAAATTTGAAAGTTTGCAAAAAGAGCTGATAATCTTGTAATGTAATCCAGGGCCGCGCTATTTATCAAAGAGAAACCACGAATTAAATGGACTCAATCGCAAAGGCTGCAATGAGTACCATCATTTCCTCCACAGATAACAAAATCTCCTGTCTTATCCTGCGTAAAAACTGCTAACCCTGTAGTTTAGATCTGTACACACAAGTTCTGAAATGTGATTCTTGTATTAGTTTCACAGCTCAGATTTCAGCCTTTTTGTCAAGTCTTCAGGATATGTTTAAAATGTGATCTTTGAACTCCTATTACTAAAACATAAATTGCAAATCTAATCACGATACTTCTCTTAAATCTGACAGTTTTAATGTAATCTTCAAACAGGGGTTCACTGGTCTCTGCACAACTGTGGTCTCATTCACATTTAATGCAGTGTCGACACCTAAACCTAGACATTTACAGCTATGTTTTTGCACATTTTCACTATTTTTATCAATACTATCAAACCTTAGAAGTATCATGCACATAATCAGTGTTGGGAAGGTGACTTTTAAAATGTATTCCCCTACAGATTACAGATTACATACCCCAAAATGTAGTTTGTAACAGAATCCATTAAATTATTAGTGAGTAATGTAATCTGAATACTTTGGATTACTTGATTTGTTGTAGAGAAGCAAAGACGAGGATATCGTAACATAAGATGTTTTGTCTGCTAAAAGAAAATAAAAAGCCCAGACTTTACTTAACTGTATTAAAAATATTATTGATAGAAGACGAGGAGACACTGATTTAGTCCTGTTTTAGTCCTGGTTTAGTCCTGGTTTAGTCCTGGTTTAGTCCTGGTTTAGATCTAGTTTAGATCTAGTTTAGACCTGGTTTTAGTCCTGGTTTAGTCCTGGTTTAGTCCTGGTTTAGTCCTGGTTTAGACCTGGTTTAGACCTGGTTTAGACCTGGTTTAGACCTGGTTTAGATCTAGTTTAGATCTAGTTTAGATCTGGGGATATAGCCCAAAATGTTAAAATAGCAAAATACCTCTGTGCAATCTATTTATTTCAACAAAGTAATTGTAATCCAATTACCACTCACAGAAACAGTAACTGTAACTGAATACAGTTACTCATAATTTGTACTCTGATTACGTAACTCCAGTACATGTAATCTGTTACTCCCTAACACTGCACATAATAATATAATTAACCAAAGGATGTAAAATGGCGTTACAGAAAGACAGAAAGTTATTTTATTTACAAGTTGGCTCCAGTTATGAATTACTTCCATTCACAAAACAACTACGAAGGCTTCCACTTGCAGCAGCTTCGAGGTAATCTCATTATGTGCAGATTTATGCCAATACCAATAACATGACTCCCAATACAATCTCGGCGTGCTCCCAGGTGAGTTCAAAGCCAGATTCTACTTGACATGTGTGTGGTTAGCATATAAGCTAACAGAGGATTGCATTCCACAGACAGTCAACACAGCTTTTGAAGTTGCTCCGTGGAGCTTTAACATGGCTACGGAGCAGGGGAATGTTGTCTTAAACTATTTATTATACGAGTTAAACGGCAGATCGGGATGCAAAACGACGTTGATAATAGATTGGACATGCGAGGCTCGCTTTATGTGATATTAAACTGTATTGAAATGTGAGCTAACCCTGCAAATGAGTGACCAGGGAAGATGGGAAGGAGGAATCGTTAGCAGCCTTACCTCTACACTTTCGCATTCATAGAACCCCGGGTTTAGTCCAAACTACCCCGCCGGATCGGTTGGTCAGTGCGGCGGAAGGGTGATGTCTTGGCCCGGGCTGGAGCGCTGCTGAGCCCGCAGGAGGAGCGGGTTGTCCGGCTGTGGAGAGCGGAGTGTCCGCGCCGCTGCTCCTGCTTCAGCGTCTGCCTCGCACTGGGAAGAGTCGCTGCGGCAACGCGAGAAAAAACGGGAGTTCTCGGGGAGGCGAGAGCTAATCAGAGCGGCGGGCAGGGGGAGCAGAGAGCCAATCAGAGGTGCGAAGGGGGAGGCGAGAGCCAATCAGAGCGGGGCAAAAGGGGAAGGGCGTTTGTTTACGAGCGGAGCGTGCAGAAGCGTGGACACGGATCAGGTCAGGTGAATTCAAGGGAGAAAACCCGTTTTATAGGCTTTCTTTTATGCATGCCTTTCTCTTTGAACATGAGTTGAAGAAAGAAAGAAAATATTTAGAAAATAAATGCCCCCCCCCCTAAATCCACTTTTTCTGCAATTAATTGTGTATATGGCGTTTTTTAACAGTGTTAAAATACTTTTTTTTTTCCTTTTTGGCAACTTTAAAACAAAGGTGGGACCAAGTCGTTGTTTTGCAAGTCTCCAGTAAATCTCAAGTCTTTGACCTCAAGTCCCAAGTCAAAGACAGGCAAGACCAAGTCGAGTCGCAGGTCACTGGCCCATAAGACCAAGTCAAGTCCAAATCCTCTGCTTTTTCAACCAAAGCACCAAATATAGCTCTGATTTTTGCAATTGATATGACTTTTAAGCTCAATTGTACTTAAAATGTCATGGTATGTTTATATATGAGTATTTATGTAAGAGTTGTAGAAATGCTCTTTTTTAAATGTCTTGACAAGATCTTAGTGTGAATCATTACGGTGAGAACAGAAAGAATGTTCTGTGTAGTTCCCTCTGTTTTACTATATTGTACTGTATATTACTGTAGTACATTTGAGGATACCAATTACTTCAATTACATCAAAGTAACAAACAAAAGTGTGAGGGATATGTTCCAGTTTGTTCTTGTAAAATCAAGCACTTGCATGTATCAACTGTAAAGAGAAAAGTATTTTTTATGAGAAGCATCAACTCTTTTCAAGTCACAGGGCTCAAATCCAAGTCAAGTCCCAAGTCATTGACCTTCAAGTCCAAGTCGAGTCCCAAGTCTTACTCTGCTTTGTCAAGTCAAGTCTCAAGTCCTAAAAATAGTGACTCAAGTCTGACTTGAGTTCACACAGGACTGCTCTGATTACAGTCAGGTGTTTCTCATACAAACACCTGGCTGCAGGGCTGAAGTTTAAAGTGTGGATCCCTGTTAAACCAATCACACTGTTCTTTAAACCTCCAGACCTCGCCCTCCTCCCCCCTCACTCTCTTCTTTCTCTCTCTCTCATTCTCTTCGTTTTATTTGTGTGTTCCCACGAAGGGGAGTGCTGTCCGAAATGATGGAGCCCCAAAGGAGAGGAGCTGATAAGGCCTTTCATTGTGAAGGACACACACGGTGCCCACGGCCCTTAAACAGGTGTGTAACAGCAGGGAGCAGCCCCACGTGAAACACGCACCTAACAAGTTTAGTTCCAGTTTGTTTAAGGTTATGTAGAAATGTAAAAGTCGTGATTTAGACTTTAGTGTGGCCATCTAAGCATTTATAACTTAAGAAAAAAAATAATAAATGAATAAAAACATGTTTTTTACTCACTGATAAGATGACGTAATAAGGCTGATCTGGATCTGTACTATAAACACTCATCAAGTGTCTTTATAAGACACAGCATGAAAATGAGTGATTATAAAATGATGAATATTGGCGACTGTTGTGCATCATTTGTTCAAGCGAGTCTCACTGATTAAGATTTGGACCATACTATATGCTGAGCTTTACAGTAGGCGAACTGTACAAAGACACTGGTGTAAAGTGGAATATTCACAGTATTTATACTCAACATACACAGAAGGCGTAGTGTGAGTGGAGAGGGAGTAGGAGCTGGTTTGGGGAAGGGCCCTCAACTCCACATTTCAAATAGAGCTGCTAAGGACACACTCATACAGTTTGGACTCCAAGTTGTGGAAAAAAGTGTCTGGGTACTTGTGTTTAGTTTAGTGGCAATGATAAGGACTTGGAACAACTAATACAGGAGTCAAACTTTATCAGGGCAGAACTTTTAGCAAACTTTATTTCTTCAAAACAAAATCATAGCTTCAAATATATGTAAGAAATCCAGGAGTTTATTGTGTGCCACCTGCTTGGTCGTTTTAGGGCTGTTGGGCTGTATCCACAGGGCGTCTCACAGGTTGTGACAGGTTAATGAAACACCTCCTCACTGGCCTGTTCTGTGAAGTGCCGGCCTCAGGGAGAGACACAGCTCCAACTGTAATCAGCAGTGGAACACATGAGGATCCTGCAAAGGACTTAAAGGTCTTGGACCGGATTTTACCATGTATGGTTACGTTCAGACTTCACATATGTTCAGACTGAAGCCTGAAGTTACCAAAATCTTATTTTTGGCCCCATGCTCCTATATCTGATCTTTTAATGACAGTCTGAATTACACAGATCCGATTTTTAAAAATGTGACCCAGGCCACTTGGATATGTGCTCCTAAACCCATACATATCTGATCTTTTGACATGAGACTTCAGTCTGAACGGCCAGGTCACATTCATCCACCTACACGTCATCAACAAGCCACAAACGTCACTGTTCTGCACTGAAGTAGGCGGAAACTGGAAGAAAGACACAACCATGACAGACGACAATGCAAGAGAATTTTCAGGCTCTGAAGCCTCGGAGCCTAGTCACTGGAGGGAAAGCGAGGTTAGCAAGTTAATTAATATTTGGGGGGATTGCTGTATTCAGGTCAAAGTGGAGGGGTCTCATCGGAACTGGGCGTTTTTTTAAATGATTGTTAAAGAAATTACTGAGTGTGGCTCCAGGCGGTCCTGGCCCCAATGTCAATGAAAAATAAACACTGAGCACGCTCGCTGCATGTGATGTCATTGTGTCCTCCATTGCACATGGAGGACACTTTTGGAGTGTTTAAGTTTACTCTGGAGATTACGTACAAGTCACATTTAACTGGAAATGTGAACAACCTCGCAAAAAATCGGATTTCACAAAAAAATCCCAATTGAGCATTAAGCTCTGCAGTCTGAACTTAGCCTATTTGAGCTAAATGTGTCTTGCCCCAGTACAGACTTACAGTATTCTAGAATTAGAAAAGCATTTCAATCTGATAATCATGCTAGTTGTTGTTTACTTTACCATCATGGACAGTCAATCAATGCCATTTGTTTACTGCTGCATTCTTTGTCTACCCAAACTGTTTAAAATGAACTTCCTTTGTTTTCACATGTATGAGACAGTAAAAATCACCTTCAAGACCTTCAAATAAACGTGTGCATTCTCCGGCGTTTTAAGGTGATCGACTGTAAGCGCGGAAGGTCATGTGCACGTGACGTTACTGCACAGTACCCACTCACAATCTTTGCATGAAGCAGCAGAATGAGGCTGAATGAGGCTGAATCAGAATGAGGCGTGTGATTGGAGTGTGTCTAGAAATGTCTGAAGAGTGTCTGAGGGTTTAAAGAGGAGAAAATGAACAATCCACTTTGTCTGAGCTTTCTACCTGTCAGTGAATCTGTACTTGTGTTTTGTTACACGTCTCAGTTATCTCTCTGCACATCTCTGTCTACTTGAACACTTCTTTTGCACTGGTCTGCAGGAAGCACTGCCCTGGGAAGGAATTTAGCTTTGGCAGCGTGTCTGTCAAATGCTCAGCCCCATATCTTCTTTTAACCACACAGCTGCAGTCACTGCTCACATGCTGGCATAGCTTACTATGGTTGTGTCCTTGAGCAAGACGCTTCATCCATCTTGCCTGCAGTGTCTTCAGTGCACTGGTTTATGAATGAGCCTAAGCAGAAGAATTGCTCTTTGTTGTGAAGCTTAACTTGAATCAGAGGTAAAATCTCTGTGTTCCAATGATCTAAACTGATAGAAAAGAGACCAAACATCAGAGCTACACGCCAAAGTGAGGAGCAAACAAACATGCACTTTTAGTCTCCTCTGGAGTAGGTTTGGGGCAATAAACAGTAATACTGTTGGTGATAAAAAAAGGAAGACAATAAAAGTTTATGGTACATTTTTATATCTATTATAATTGCCATTATATCACCAGATTGTGCAGGAAAAAAAAACTTTCTACCATATTATAATGCTGTGCCTTCATCAAAAACACGCCTGAAGAGGTTGTAGATATCATCCATGCATGTTTGAGTAATCTGCTGATCTAACAAAGATAAACTACTACTGACTGTTTTTTTTTTTTTTTTTTTTTAACAAAAACCCTAAATCACTTCATTTTAAAGTGATTCAATTTTTACCATTTAGTAGGGTGACCAAACGTCCGTTTTTCCCCAGACATGTCCGTATTTTGCGTCCTGTTCTGGGCGTCTGTTTTTTTTTTTTTTTTTTTTTTTTTTTTTTTTGAAGTGATGGAAATGTCTGGGTTTTCATTACCTTTCATTGGGCCATTAAATTGAGCGGCTCTCGTAGCTCGCAGAAGGATCGAGCAGACACAAACAGTCGGTCAGTCTGCAACATGCCGAAGCACAAATGCGCATTTTAACAATGACTTGTATAAGAAATTCTCTGTTTTCCCTCCTGGTCGGGACAAGTGGGAGGCCATGTGCACAGGTTGCGAGGTTAGCTCAATGTTGAGGCCCCACCCTCACCCCCGTAAGGTGTCTGGGTTTTCACAAACGGAAATATGGTCAGCCAACCTTTTACACCTATGCAATTTATGCTTAACAAATGGGCAAATGATTCTATTGGCTCCCTTTGGTGTTGGTACGGCCTGGACATTTCCAGAACACATAGATTGCCAGTTCGCCCCTGGATGTGTGGTCATTTCATTAGCGGGATGCACTCTGATTGTGCTGTGATAGTGTTCTGAAGAGGGAGTGACAAAGAGAGGGACGACTCAGAGCATCAAAATTAAACTGAAACTTATTAAACATGTTAATAAGATGTTGAATTGGTTGAATTTGTGAATGTAACATTCTCAGAACAATAACAACATGCTGATCTAAATATGTATCATGTCCCCTCTTTAACTCTTGTCCCTGTACTATGGCATAATGTGGAATATT